TCGAGATTCAGCACAGAATTTGCTGTGCCAACCTTGTCTTTGGCAGACTGTCTCGCCAGGTGTTCAACAATCACATCATCAGAACACATGCTAGCCTTTAGTTTATAAAGCGGTGGTAATCTCAATTCTCCTCTACAGCGGAGAGATTTGGATGACCTACAGAAAACATCTGAAAAACCTGGAATGCCAGCACCAGCACTTTCTTTGGAAGATCCTCAACATAAAGTGGAAGGATCATCGCAGTAACAGTGTCCTCACAGAGGCCAACATGTTCAGTGTTGAGGCCCTGATTATCCAGCTGATAGGCACTGTGAGTGCATGTCTGATGTACGCTTACCAAAACAACTGCTGTATGCCCAACTCACCAAAAGAGAAAGGAAACGAGGAGGCCAAAAGAAATGTTTTAAAGACACGCTCAAGATAAACATCAAGAGATGGGGCACTGACACTGCACACTGGGAGACAGCAGCCCAGGATAGGGTTAACTGGTGAAGACTTGTCAGAGAGAATGTCCACTTTTGAGGAAAATAGCCTTGCCCTGGTCACAGGAAAAAAAGCCAGAAAAGGAAAGACAATGGTCATGCAGCAATCGCAGCCCAACCCGGTCTTCCAACACCACCTGCAATATCTGCAACGGACCTGTGGCTCAAGAATCTGACTTTTCAGTCACCAAAGGACCCACGAAAAATAAAACCTGTGAAAGAGATCATCCTTGACCATGATAGGTAAACCACAAGGAATTACTGATATCAGGGCCTAGTTGGCAAGTGCAGAGCCTATACAATTTTTATGGCTTATCAACAGACTTCCTAGTTAGTGTGTCTTTTGACACAAAAAATTCTTCTCTAGTTACTTTCTGAAACCATTCTTTTAAAAATATAAGATGACAGCGGAGGAAGGAGCAAAATTTTGGTAAGGCTTTAACTCACAAAGAATTTATCTTTGACTCTTAACTGGCATGCCAACTCTGCAATCAGTGAGAGAGGAACATCTTCAGTTTGTGGTTTCAGTGAAGAGTTAAAGCCCTTCTTAGGTTATCCAAGTCCCCTCTACAAGGGATATTATATTTAGTCCACAAGGGCAGGTTCACATAAAACCTTATGACAGAGATTCAGGGTATTTTGTTTTTTAAGGGGATTTAATGACATTTTCTAGTTCACCTGCTTACAACAGTTCCATAAAAAGAGGCTGCCTCATATTCAGTAAGATTAAATTAGCTGGTTAAAACAATTTCATGGTGAGATCATGACATTCCTTCCAAACACAGCAAAGTTTACTATAATAATTCAGAAAGGATGCAGTTTCTTCCATATGATGGTTACTGTATTCAGCATTGGAGTCTAATGTTTTGAGGACTGCTCTTAATTGCACCATTTCAAATTGGTACTAATGGGCTATATGCTCTATTATATTCATAACAGATTTTGAAAATATTTGCATATGTGCATCCATATTTATCATTCTAGTGGTTCCAGCCACTCTCTTGATTAAAACTGTCGTCAAGGAAATGACAGTTTTCCTGCCCATTGCTTTAAGAAAAGTAATGGTTCTGTTTTCAAATACTGACACAGCACTACTCTTGTTAAGTTCTCCATTATTAATTTACGAGAAATCCAATTTCTATTTCTAACATTGCTCGAAATGCACAACACCTAAGAGTTGACAAGGCATGATCTGGTGCATGTTTTAGGCCTGCTTGCAAGGACAGGATGACACTAGAATGACCTTGGAGAAAGGAGGTGATGATTTTACAGTCTTGAATTTCTAGTGCAGTACCTGTGTTTTAGGGATGAGGAAAGTGTGTTCAGGAGTAAATGTTATGTATAGTGGAGAAAAGCATAATCTTTAGAATTCTGCTATTGGTATCTTTCCAAGCATCTATAAAAGCAGATCTAGATGGTGACATTATGTGACTGCTTTGGTGCCACGCTCCTCAATTAAACAGTAAAGGGAACACACCACGACCTTGCTAAAGTCTCCATGTACCAGGACAACACAAACAAGCCAGTCAATAGGCAGTGACAGACTACAAGGACTAAGGACTCTGATAACTACTAAGGATTTGGCAAAAAATGACCTTAAACCCTATCTAGCTCTACTAAGAGACACTGCTCCATTTTGAAAGTCCAATCAACCAAAGATCAGGAAAAAGCCTCAGAAAAGTGACAACAGTGAAGTTACTAAAATGTGGAGTAACGTGGATCCAACACAAAAATGTACATACAATTTATATAAAGTTCAAATTTTCCACAGTACTAGTAAACTGAATTTACATACAGTTCCCAGAACCCCATCTTACTGGGTTGAAATTACTTAGTATAGCAGTCAGGTTTTGACCATGGCTTTTCTAAGATGAAAAGAATAAAATGTAATCTATGGTCTTGCCTTGCACTAATTGACTGGACTTCCTGAGGAGAAGGAGCAGTAAAAGGGCACCTGTGTTCATGTCTGACACAAAGCCAGCAATGGTGTTTATGGAAAACTTCAGAGAGAGCAAATAGGCATCCAGCCAATAAAGTCTACAGCTGTGCAATTTGGAATAGCGAAGTGACTAACCTCAAAGAACAAGATTGGAATTCTGGAATCCAGCAGTTTGATAACTTGTTTATGTAGAGGATTTTCTATTAGAACAGCAAATAACTTCAACTCCTTTTCACAGTGTCATGAGTTTTCCACAAGATGTATAGTCTATATTCTTTTCAAAGTGGAACAGGATCATTAACAGAAATATTATTGGTAGTGGTGAACTGGGGGGATGGGAGTGGGTGGTGACGATATCTATCCAGTACTATGATTCTCTCTCCCTTCCCCAGCTCTTTCGTTTCCTCACCAAGGGAAGTTAATAAATACTATGATAATACTTCGCACTTGTTATAGCTTTCAGAGGACCTCAAAAAACTTTACAGAGATCAGTAATTTGTAGGCATGTTTTATAGCTAGAGAAAACTGGACAGCACTTAGCACAGCGTAACACTACTAGACTACAAACATATAAACATCATAATTAAGGCTGCGAGTCTGTCATGGAGGTCACGGATTCCATGACTTTCTGAGACCTCCGTGACTTCTGCAGTGGCTGGATCCAGGGCTGCCTAAGCAGTTCAAGCAGCCGCTCCTGAGGCAGTCTCGGGCCACCACTTGCCACCACCCGACCCCCTCTCCTCAGCACCTGCAGCAGTCCCAGCACACGCGCTCCTGGCCACCCCCTCTTCCCCAGCACCATGACCATGCACCCCCAAAAGCACCCAAGATTTAGTCAGGGGTATATAGTACAAGTCATAGACAGGTCATGGGCCATGAATTTTTGTTTACTGCACATGACCTGTCCATGACTTTTACCAAAAATACCCATGATTAAAAAGTAGCCTAAATAATAATGTAAATCGTCTAATGTCATACAGTGAATCAGTGACCGAATCAGACACAAAATTCAGTTCTCCAGATTCCAATTCTAAACACTAAGTAATACTGCCTCTCCAGATTCCCAGTCTTAGCTCCTCCTCTTCCCACCTCCTGTCTCCTTCTAAGCCCTACCAGTCAAGCATCCTCAGGTGCAGTTTCTAACTAATTTTCCTGGCAAGATTCCTGGATTTCATTCAAAGTCGTCTGTTTTTCACTAAATTCATGAACATTTGCTGGCACTGAAGTTAATGTATCAGAATATAAAAATAAGAAAGAGGAATGCAGCAGGTCTAATTCCTACTTATGTCCCAGTACAACTGTTCATCTTAAGCATGGGCTAGTATCCCAAACCACTCAAGGAGGGTCTGTTCAGAAACATGTGACCAGAACCATAAGCTTTCTACATTACAAAATATGTCGTCTTATAAAAAAAATAAAAATAAACCCACCCCCCCACAAAAACCCAGTTTGTCACAGTGGAAGTGCAATCCTGCTACAATATGTAAGGAAAGTGAAGGACAAATCACAGTCCTACACACTGGCATGAGTGGAGGGTGCCCCCTTGTGCTAAATTACTTTCCCTTGTCCTGGAGGTCATAACATGTCTATCAGAGTTTATGGTGCTGTGCCTGAACATGTATTAAAATGTTCTGCACTAATGAAACAAAGAATTAATGTTCTGTATTTTTTGTTTTTTAAAAAAGGAAAAACCATGAGGGGGAGATTTCATTTCCTAAGTAGGAAAGTCTACATTAATAATTTTCCCAGCAGGCCTTCAGTAGTTTTACTGAAAACAATCACAGCCTTTGTTTCTCAGATCCTCTTATGCCTGACGCTCGCTCAAAGTCCTCACATCAGCAGCTAACAAAGAAAAAAAATGTAAAACACTGAACTTCATCACAAAGATATCCTCACAGCTCATTTTAGTGGTGCTGGAAGCTGGACACCACAGGCATATTTTCAGCTAAAATTGTTTTAATTAGCCAGCTGTTCTACTCAACACTAAATTTGAGGGACACCAGAATGTAAGTGCATGAGTGGTGCATTTTATTGTCCAGAATCAGTTTCACCACATTTTCAAACCACAGAAACTTCCTCTAATCTACATAGTTTCATCACAGTTTAAAGAAAATCCCATGAGTAATTCAATACTTTTACAAAGGAGCAGTATGGAGATGGAACAGGAAGGGCAGGATCTACATCTTCTGACTAGCATTAGACTACAAATCATCTACAGTCTCCAGTGACTGTGACTAGGCTGCACCAATATCCACTGTTAGGTGGAGCCCACACTGTTTGCTAACAAGACTCAGGTGTAAGAGACCCAATGAAAGTAATGAAGCACAGGAAGAGTACATTAGATACAAGATTCCCATCTCCACCCAAATATATTCTGCTTGACTTTAGTTAGGAAAAAATGTTAGAGAACATTTCCTATTTTAAAGCAGCTATAGGAGGAAAAAGTTCTGAGGAATTTTGTCCCTTTGAACTTCCAAGTAAAACCTTAAGTAAGATTATGCAAACCTAAAGACCAATCCTGATTAGTGGGAGGGGGGAACGCAGCCCTTCTCCAAATAAGTTCTTGAGGATTTCTCCTCGGCTGCTAGGGTTTGTGTTGGATAAAGAAAGCCCTCCTAACAAACCAGCATTCTTTTCCACCTGATCAGAGCTAATTGGCCCCCCTGCAGACAAAATGACCAATCACATCAGCTTCAGATGAAAACCAACCCCCCCTGCATTATAAACAGAGGAATGAGACATGTAAACCCATTTTAAAGAAGAGATCCCTACAAACTAAATTGTGGAAAGTTTCTTGCCTGTACTGGGACAAGAACATAAGATTACCGCAGTCTACTTTTTGGACCCAAAACCTCTCCCCCTTTCCCCTGCACACTGATAAAAGCTACAAAGACATTGGTAAGTACACGATAAAATTACCTTTTTGACAAAGTTATTTACAATAGCATAATTTTAACTTTTAAAACATAATGCAAATTATTTTCATTGTGTAAAGAAAGCTGAGAGAGCTTTTGCTTTTGAAGCTCCCTGCTGGAATATCACCTTAAACAAAATATTTCTGTAATTCTTCTCAAATATGAACCCTTTTTCTAACTGATAATGCCCACAGTGGCATAAGAGGGAAGCCAAACTTTCCATCATTAAGAACCCTGGCAGAAAAGGGCATTGGAAGGAAACTTCACAATGCTCAGCAGATGCATACAACTGAAGCTAAGGTAATCAACTATTGCTGAGGATGGGAAAAGACCAGAGAGTCAAACCGGTATTTATTTTGATTTGGTTCAGATTTGAGTTCAGTTGCATTCAGTGTGTTTGGGTTCGGTTCTGGATCAAGCAACTAAAAGTAAATAAATAGTGGTTTGGTTACTGGTCTGAACTGGTTCAAACCAAATTTCAATCCAAAAGAATGGAAGAAAATTTAAAAAGCTGAAATTTATTGAAACTATCTTCATTTTTGACCATTTATTTACTTTTTAACTGTACATGAGTTTTCCTAGTTCTTGTGTTGTCAGAAAACAATTTTCGAAATGAACAATTTGTTTGAGCAAACTAAAATACCATCTTCCAAACTAGACCTCTGTGGTAAAGGAATAAATTTGAGTTTGAGGCAACGGCTCTGCTTCAAGTGGGGCAACTGGCGGGAGGAGCTGCCCTGGGGTTTGGGATGGCTGGGAGATCGTCTGTCTGTGGCAGAGATAGGTTGGGGAGCCATTATCTTTCCTCGATGTTGAAGAGTTATCTTTAACTTCTGGGACCAGGAGCATTCCACTTCTCTTACCAGGATGAAATCTCAAAGTATGTCTACACAGCAGTAAAAGATCTGTGGCACCAAGTCTCAGAGTCCAGGTCTGACTCATGGGGCTAAAAATAGCAGTGTAGAGATTCAGGCTCAGGCCAGAGTGGGGGCTCTGAAACCCAGGGAAGTGGGAGGGTCTCAGAACCTAGGCTTGCTGTGGGTTTGTGTGTTTTTTATTTATGTTTTTGGGGGTTTTTTTGCTGTGGAGATGTACCCAGAGATGGTACATCTATCTCTGGGCCCCCTGCTCTCTCATGTGCTGTGCAGGTAGCTCCTAAACTTCTCTCTTTCACTACTCTTCTGGGCTAGCCTTCTTCTAGTCTTTTCTCATTATATTGGGGAAGGCCTTTCTGGTTGCAATCACATGTCTAATTGTTATTTTGTTGTTTTATAATGAAAATAAGATCGCAGTAGTTTTTTTGTTGTTTTTTTTTAAATGTTGAGCTTAAGAAATGCTGGACCTTTATTTTCACCAGTAACCCACATTTTTTTTCCAGCTCAGTTTTGATTCAGGTTCAGTACATAGGACAAAACCATGGTTCAGGTTAAGTTCTGGTTCAAATAAAAATAGTGGTTCGACCTGATTCTCTAGTTACGGTCTTTTCCAGAAAACCAAACTCCTCTCACCCTTCTACCTTCCCACTGCATTTATCAGAGCCCAGTAAACATCTAGCTTTACATGATGATCTTATGACTAAGGTCAGTTTCAAAGATCTGTCAATGGCCAATTGAGTGTGCCTATGAAATAAGTGTCACACTATGAACTAGCATGATTGTGTTTTGTTCATTTGAAGGCAACTATTTAGGAGCATCATGCATTTACCACCAGGCATGAATTGCACTGGTCTGGAACATGACTGGTTATCTCATATAGGTCACTGGGATAGTTTGCTGCACACAGGACTGGGGAAGCATTTGAGAAAATGTGAAGTTACAAAGATGGATAGCTAATAGAGGTAAACATGGGCCCATTTTATCCTGATATTAAATATCAAATGTTCAGAGTTTGTGGACCAGCTCCTTGCTCCCCACCTAACTCTCCTGATCTCCCCCAGTGCCCAATAATAAACCTTTATTTAGGACTTTGCATCCAGATCTCTCTAAGAGATTTCACAAATATTTCCCTTATGGGATGAAGTTTAAACAGTTTCTTGGTAAGGCTTTTCTAACAACTTGAAGGAGACCAGATAGTATAGGGCACTCAAATGTCACTTCATAATCAATGGTTGAAATAATGGTCTAACAGCTTTAAGCAGTACAGTAGCATATCAATATTGAGCTAGTCAAAATCTCAATCAATAAGGCTTGCTTTTGGTTTACATTGTAATGTAAACACAACTCCCCTCCCCCCATCCACCCCCACCGTCAATTTTACCTCAAAGTCTTTCAGCAGTTTAAAATTTAATTAAAAATTCAGTGTATCTATTACACTTTCTTTACCTCAGGAGAATATCTTGCTACTTCTCCCTTTTTACCTCCAACAACTGCCTCAGAATCACAGAATATACAGGCCTTGGCATCTGCCCTGGAATTTATGCCTTGCCACAGAACTGTGCTGCAGAAATTAAGTTATTTTAGCTCTGTCAGGTGCAAATTAAATCTTGAAAATGTGAATCAACTGTAAAAACTTACACCTTGCCTTCCTAATTCTGCAAGAAACTTCACATGACAGAGCTATTATTCTAACTGCCCCCATTCATCTCAATGGGTGTTAACACAGAAACCTAGAGACAACATTGATGTTTAAATATCAGCAGTTTTACTACTGATAGTTGAACCACAAGCATCCAGCTAAAGTGATTATCCCACAAACCAAACTGCCCCCCTGTGCCTCCACAGATGCCAAAAGCACCAACTGTTCCCTTCCCAGCTTCCCCTGACAAATTCTATGATGCAGTTATGCACTCCTAATACAAAAATCTACAGTAAATATGAAGTGTGGGGACTGCGTTAAATAAACTGGATTTAATGTCAAACACCTCAGACACTGCTGTGCAGACTGTTAAATTAAAATTTAAGTGAAGCTGCCACAGAATCTAGAGACCTTACTGCAGAATTTAGGTTCATTTTGCCATGAATTGCACAAAGCCTCAACAACAGTAAACATGAGCTCTCGCTGCTTAAGTTATAGAAATGCCAATTAAATCTGAAATAGGTATAAAACATTTTTTTGTCATTTGTGCTCACGTAATATAAGCTTGGATTTTACTTACCTCCTCACAGCAGTGGCACATTAGTCAATAGGACTCCACTAATATTCTCAGAATCATGCTTCAATACACAGCTAAAAGGAAACTGAAGTCTATGCTAACTAGAACGATAACTGTGAGCTTTTGTGCAGTTACTCCTAGCAAATTCCTTCTTTCATAGCCTTTTTCTCCTTACACCAGTTTGTTGTGAACACCAACTAGACTCCAAACAGTACAATCTACCTCAGAAGCTTTCCAAAGTCAATTAAAATAGAATTTGCAAGTGATGTAGTGGAGAGTGGGAAGCTAGGGTAGCACTCTGAAAATGTTTTGCTGGAACTCTGATCCAAATGAGAAACTATTCAAAAGCCTTAACAACAAAGCAAGGTGGTGACAACCTTTGTAGGAGAACAGCCTGAAAGTGCATTTGGTACAATGTCCTCGGTCAGGGTGTAGATATGAAGAACAAATCTTAAGACACATTTGGTGTCAGAATATTCCTGTTCACAGGAATGAGGCTGAGCATGAACTGCCTAGAGAAGCAAGGGAAAGATTAGAAAACCAGAGTGGCATGAAACAGCCAAACTGCTTCAGCTGAAGAGCCACAGAGCAGAGGGCACAAGAACATATATTCAAACTGGCAAAATGAAGCAGAGTATAGGGGTTCAGGACCATGTACTCTTGTAACCATTAAACTCTATAGTGGAAAGTAGCAGCTGATTACATGAACATCAGGGGTATGCTAAAGTGGTATTAATCAGCTGCAGAGGATGGCTTTATTGTGGACAAACCATCAGGGAGCCAAGAACCAGAAAAAAATCTGATTCGATTAAAAAGCCACTTGGGATCTGCTATGGAAAAGAAAATAAAGCATGAACTACCTTGATGCTTAAAGAAGTTAGCTCTAGCTATCCTGCTATGATTTGCTTCAACTCAATTGATTTATCAGAGAAACTGGATTGAGGAATGGACAAGATGGTGAACAGGAGGTAAAGAAAAGAAATAAAAGGAGAAGAGAAAGAAGCAATGCCATGTACACTTCTGATTGAATAACCATCACTTAATTCTCAAAAAAGTAAGAGGCAACATAAGAGGAAGGACTGCAAACACTGGAATAATATATCAAAGGAAGGGGATGCAAAGGAAGAGGTTGAGAAAAATCTCTTTGGTAGCAGTAGCTCTTCTAGTCTTGAGGCAGCATGTCCTGATTGTAACTGACAAGCACATTCATGAGATAAGAACCGGCAAGAACAAGAGCAGACAAAGGCATAACAAAATCTGATGGACAGATGTTGAAGCTAGTCAGATTCAGACTAGAAACAACTTTTTTTTTTTTTTTTAAAGCAAGGGTAATTAACCATTGGAACAACTTACCTATGGTTGTGGTGAATTCTCCATCACTGGAAACTTTAAAAATCAAGACTGGATTTTTTCTAAAAGATATCTAGTTCAAAAAGGAATCAACCCATAGAAGTCCTATGACCTATGTTATGCAGGAGGTCAGACTAGATGCTCACAATGGTTCCTCTTGATCTTATAATTTATCAATCTATGAATAGGGAAAGTAGAAAATATGTAAATCATCTGACAAAGAGGCGGGGGAATAACAGGGGGGGAGGAGAGAAGTAGGTAGAGAGTGAACAGTTACCTTTCGTCTGACTTCTCAAATACATTCAAGTTGCATCTGCTTTTCAAAGAACACTTGCGGGGGGGAAGGGGGAAGAAAGGAAATCCTCAGACTTTCTAGATTTAGAATTCAAAACCTAAGCCTGTTAGTTTAGCTTCCCCCCCTCCTCCTGAAACACTCTTCTCATCCTGAATCAGCTGCACTACTTTTGGACTCTCCATCCATCCCAACAAAGAAGCTTTGTCCCGTGATCTAATTTAACTTAAGACACAATAGGTTCATACCCTCCTGGTTGTTATTTTTTAATAAACATTAAATATGGAGTCTCACTCATGTACTTAAGAATTATTCACTGCACCACTGATTAGTGACCTGACACTATAATCACTACCACAGAAAGGACTACTTTTCCAGGCCAAATGGGACTACAGCAGCAGCCTATCATCCTCACCAGGACAATCTCACTGTTAAAGTCTGAAGTGACATTGATAAGAGACTGCTGTGAAAAGCACTGCTTAGGTTAATAAAGATGGAGATATTATTCTTTCATTCTGAAATACCTTCAAGATAGTTACAGTACTGGAATTTCACTAATAGAAAATGTCTGAAACAACTTGATGTAATGAAGAAAGCTGGATGCAGGAGAGGTTGAAATCAATATTAATAAACCATTAGTAGTAATCAAATAATCAAGTCGCTGTATCAACCGAGCTTCAAACTGATCTTGATTGTGCTCTGCATTGTAGTGAAATGACAGTGCTCTACTGTAGTGTGCTGTTTTATCAGAATATGGGGGAGGAAAATGAACCCGAAAAAACTATTCTATATTTGTAAGGGTATATAATACTCTGAGGATTCCTGTTATTGCTTGTCACTACTAGATTTAGTTTTTTCTAAGGAGTAGCTCTGCTCTGCTCTGTACTCTATTGCCCAAACTACTCGTGAAACATGCCATAACAACTGCCCTCCAGACGCCATAACAATTTACACAAAAACAGTTTTCCTCCAAGAACTCATATGGTTTATCCCAAAGGCATAAGGTCCCAAAGGTCTACACATATTCACCTTCCTTCCAAGTAATCGAGTACGTTTCTCAAGACCGCAGCTTATTCCAAGAATCTAAGATGATAAAGAGGCACTGGCTCCAATTTGTTCTGCACACAGTCCCATCATTCCTATCGACTAGCCATAATACTCATTCTATAATCCCCCTCAAGGCACTAAACAAGGCCATTCTGAGTCTTAATGCAACACTCAGCTCTTCGGACCAGTAAAGCTGATTCCTGGTACCTAAAGCACTTCGAAGATTTTACTCTGTTTACTTTGTGATTTCCTATCACTGCTGCAAGACCAGAAACTGTATTCTTGCAGAGCTGTGGAGCACCCCAAAGACTGAACTAATATAGACTGAATAGCCTCATTGGAGGGCAGTCCGTGGAGGCCAGGATTAGGGTTATTAGCAGAGTAGACTGTACTCAGCACTCCCAATGATTGACTCAGCAGATCGTTACTCATGCTCTGTGCACGGCGGAAGGAGTGGCGCATTATTTAAGAAAATTCTGCCTTGTTTTTCAGAAATATAAAGACCACCTGAAAAGCAGCTCTGTGTGGCTCAAAAGCTTGTCTCTCTCACCAACAGAAGTTAGTCCAATAAAAGATATTACCTCGCCCATTGTGTCTGTCTTGTATTTCAAAAAACTATTAGAATCATTAAAAAAAACACCTGATCTTAGCCGTTATATAGTTGTGGCATATTCACTGCAGGAGATAAGGAAACAACTGTACTTAATAGGAGAATGGAGAATAAAAAAATGGAAAAAAGCCCCAAGATCCTACTCAAACCATCGGTTATTCCTCAAGCCCCTTGGATGCATGTTCCAAATAGAAGTAAAACATATTTGTATGCATGGGGAACCCACCACCACAAGCAAAGAAGACAGTAAAAGATCTATTCACGATGCTCACCAGGATATGGTAATGATCATATTTAAATCTACATATGAAGATTTAATATCCAGAACAAATCATAAACTCATAAATCAAATGAGTTACAGGACCAATTCCAGGATCAACATGCCATTGATCAAATAGGAGATAGTCATTTCTATCTTTGTTAAAACAGTCCTCATTTTACCATGAAAAGGTCAAATCCTAGGTATTCAAACTAAGGCTGGTGGCTACTAATGTGAATATAAAAATTGACATACTGGACTAGGCCAATGATCCCTTTAGCCTGGTATGTACAGTGGCAAGGCCTTCAGAAAAAGGTGTGAATCTTCATAACCCACTTAATTGCACATCCTCTCTTATACATCTTTATGACCTGAACCATTTGTATAAAGAGAAACTGCTTAACTCTGTTTATTTCTTCAAAATCAATTTGCCTCTACACTAGCCAGTGGCAGTGAGTGTCATCATTAACTAATGCAATGGATTAAAAAACAGAGTTTTTTATTTGATGGCTTTTAATTGTGTGTCTTCTTGTTTTATGGGAAGAGCTAACTAGCAATAGGAGCTCCCAATAGGATTTCTTTCCCATTCAGTATTTATATAAAACTAATTTTCTATTCAAGTGTAATAGTCTCTTAAGCCAAAAGTTTTTAAACTTAGGTGCCCATAGTTCAGCTCCTAACGAACTGCTTATCAGAGGAGCTGAACATCTACAGCACCCAGTCAAGTCCATAGGATCTGAAGGTGCTTGGCACCTCTGAAAAAAAAGGTTATTCTTACTTAAGATCCTAAATATGAATGTAGGACGTATAAGGCACACAATTTGCAATTTTTGGCTCTTGACTTTTATATTCCCTCATATGCAAATTCACCTTTACTTAAAAATTTCCATGAACTTCTCTAAACTTTTTTTTTCCCTCCTGTTGTTGCAGTGGGGTTTGGAGGGTTTTATTTTTTAGTTAAAGTGACCAAAACGGATGCTGTACTTAAGCGGAGGACTTCTCATCAATTTATATAATGGCATAATATTTTCCGTATTATTCTCTATCCCCTTCTTAATACAGCTTAACATCAGCAGTGGCCTGAGTATGTTCAGCAGAAGAGGCTCTCCCCCAGGTACCAAAATTCTAGTCAATAAGAGAATACGGTTGGTAGAGGTAAAGGTAATTTTAAAGAGGCAGAAAGTCAGGAACATCTGTGAGGAAATTTTTGAATTATAGAAGTGAGGTGGCGAGACACAGCCTTCCCCAAGAAAGCAGATAAGGGGAAGAACTGTAGTTAAATATTACCTTTTTATTATTCTTTAGATTGCTATATTGCTTTGCTAAGATGAATCTCAACATCTAATTGCTATCATCACAGATGTAAAATATTAAAGTCTGTTTTCCACACAAGCTGCAGTGCTACAGCTGCCAATCTGCCATATTAGCACAGGTATTTGACCCAAATATAAATTGGGGGGGGGGGGGGATATGACAACTCTGTTTAAATGACTAGGTAGGGGAAATTTTAAAAGTAATCTGATGTTTAACTTAGTCTTTTTTAACTAATCGTTACCACAAAAGCAGTGATAAATTCCACTCCAAAACTCCTAAATCAATCTTCTCTGGATTGCAATGTTTAAGACATCCTTTGTTGGGTGCAGGTAGTATTTCATCCCTGGCTGATGTGCCAGAATCTGTGAAGATTAGCTGAAATACAAATATGCAGGAGCTTAATGAATTTTCTCTTTTTAGTTTTCAGAAGATGAGATCAGATATGATAGACAGCACAACCACCAAATCTAGTGCCCCCCCTCCTGGATCAAAGGCACTTGAGGATGGTGACTAAAGATGGACACAGCACACTACAGATTGATGGGACCCAAAAGAAAGGTCTGGCATACCTACGAGATGCTTGGGGAATACTAATGGACATGCGCTGGCGATGGATGATGCTAGTCTTTGCTGCTTCTTTTGTCATCCACTGGCTAGTCTTTGCAGTGTTCTGGTACCTCCTGGCTGAGATGAATGGGGACCTGGAGTTGGATCATGATGCCCCACCTGACAACCACACCATTTGTGTTAAGTACGTCACCAGCTTTACAGCTGCTTTCTCGTTCTCCCTGGAGACACAGCTCACTATTGGTTATGGCACTATGTTCCCAAGTGGGGACTGTCCTAGTGCTATCGCCCTGCTTGCCATACAGATGGTCCTGGGGCTCATGTTGGAGGCCTTCATCACAGGTAATCAGGTTTATTTCACAATTTTAAATAGGGTAGGTCCTTTCAACCACATACAGGGAGTAGATTTGGTAAAATTCTTAATCTCATTATGAGTGCTTCCAGATGGGACATAAAAGGAGTAGGGCCAGTTACTAAAAGAACAACAACAAGACTGAAATTTCAACTTCAAAACAGCTTTATAGCTGTCAATTATAATCCAACTCCTTTTAAGCAGTTAAAGACCTATAAAAAGGAGAGGCACTTGAACAACAGTATTTCAGGATTTGTACTGGAAACCAGAAAGTGTTGCTCTTTACGGCAGCTCCTCTCCTGACACTTCCAATGAGTTATTTTCCTCCATCTTCCTCTATCAACTTCTTTCTTCCAACCTTTCATTAATTTGAGGTTTAAATCCATTTGTTTTGATACAGACTCTCACAGGTTTACCCAAAACTTTAGCTAGTTTGTTTAAAACTGGCTAAATTTTTTTTACCCCCCTTCACTTTATTGTTAAGTATCCATGGGTAGCCAACACCCAAGAACACTTTAGAATCCCAGTGGTACTTAGTTTAAAGTTACTTAAAATGGCTGAACTATGGAATAATTTTAGACAAATATAGTATACTGTGCAAAAGGTTAGTGTACTGTATTTTAAACAGTTTCATTAAACGAAAGACCACAATTATATACCATAGCCAGTTCAAGGAGTGGATCTTCATCAATCAAGGAGCACATCTCTTTCTGCAACTGCACCCTCATTCTCCAAATATTACTGTTTTACACATGCTAACAGATTGTGGAGACAAAAAAGTTCATGGAAAAAGCCAAGGCTCTTTAAAAAAAGTGGATTTATTTTATTAATAAATTGAGAATAGAAACTGGTACCAGCAACTTTTGGTATGATGGGAGCTGTACTATGTGTAGACTAGATCTAATAATTTGAAATCAAGCAGTCTGAGGATAGTTAACAGTAGTATGTCCATCCCACTAAGCCTCCTCCTTTTCTCATGGGCCATTCCATACAACTTGCGGACAAGTAAGAAACTAACCTGACCATCATGATTATAGTTAATTCATTCTTTCCTGTTATGTAGGTGCTTTTGTGGCAAAGATTGCCCGTCCAAAGAATCGAGCTTTCTCCATCCGCTTTACTCATTCTGCAGTAGTGGCACACACAGAGGGCAAGCCATACCTTATGTTCCAGGTGGCCAACACTCGTCCCAGCCCACTCACCAGCGTTCGGGTTTCAGCTATTCTTTACCAAGAACAGGAGAATGGTCAGCTGCATCAAACTAGTGTGGATTTCCACCTGGACAGTATCACGTTTGAGGAGTGTCCATTCTTTATCTTTCCACTGACCTACTACCACTCCATTACCCCATCTAGTCCTCTAGGTGCTCTCCTCCAAGGGGATACCACTCGCCATTTTGAGCTAGTAGTCTTCCTCTCAGCAATGCAGGAGGGAACAGGGGAAACATGTCAAAGGAGGACATCCTACCTCCCATGTGAGATCATTCTACACCATCGCTTTGCTTCCATGCTGGCCCGAGGTGCCAAAGGGGAATATCAGATCAAGATGGAGAATTTTGAAAAGACTATTCCAGAGTTCCCAGCTGCAGCAGACTCTAAGAGTCCAAAGAGGACTGACATGAAGATCCGCATCAATGGACAGCACACTGACAGCTTCCAGATTTCTGAGACCGGTCTGATAGAATAGAATTTGGACTTGGTGCCTTTTTTTTTTAATTACATTAAACTTTCAGGTTAAACTTCCAGCCTTCCTTTTCCCCCCTATTTTCTTTTGTGCTCTCTCTTTTCTCCATCCTTTTGATTGCAGTATAGTGTGCAGAGTAAAAAAGCATAAAGTGCACATGTAAACTGATGAGAAGCTGTTTTAACTGCACAGAATAGAACGTCAGGGACAAGTACCACACTACAAGTTGTGGGAAAGTACTAATGCTACCTGCTGAATTCACTAGACTATGATTAAAACTGCACTGACCCTGAAGTGTGAGACTTTCAGACTCCCACAGTTGACCAAAACCTAATTAAATGGTATGTGGGTAGGACACTACGTCAAAATATGCAGCAACAGTACAATGGAAGACCTAATCTAAAACTAACCTGGGGTTAAATTACACTAGTTTGGGGATCAGCAATGAGGTAGTTCCAAGATTGTTATAACCCTTTTACATTAAAACTTTCTGGGTACATGGTTACATCAATTTTCAGATGGCTGAACATCCTTCTAAAACCATTGACAGTCTTTTCAGTGGCAGTGAAATGCATTCCAGATGTACTTGTTTATTACGTGAAATCAAGAGTACTGACTGCAGTTCTTCATTCCACCAGGTCAGAAGGGAATACAATATCTCTGTGACAGGTCTGTGAAGACAGCAAGTGCCAAAAATCCTGAAGTGTATATATGTGACACACATGCTACAGTGGAGATATTTTCATATTTGGAAACATTTAATAAATTATTTCAGCAGTAGAAAACAGACTGTTATACAGCAATTCATGTTCTTTCATGTCTCTTGGCACAGTGAAATTTTATGTGTTCTCAGCTTTGCACATCTTACACTTCGAGTAGTTCTGGCACCACAGGATGCACTATATCTACCAAGAACTGCATCCATTTATATTTTATGCTTTTTAATATAAATATCTATATCTGTACACACAGCATATAGATAAATCATATCTACAAAATCAGACACATTTGAATTAATTTTAAAATAAAAAGAATTGAAACAAGTGCTTATTCATGGGACTTTTTTTGCCAGGAGTGCCTCGTAAGAATACCAAGAAGAAAGAACCGTGCTCCTATATGCAACAATTTCTATTATGATCAAATGGGCTAACAGTTAAGTGGACAGTTTGCTGTCAATTCACAGCTTCTCAGCAATGGAATGCGGCTTTAAAATAGCTATTCTGTATTCAGACTGAAACAACCAACAGTTACCATCAAAATAAATGTTGCCATTCAAGGATAATTAAATGACTTTTCCCAGCAATAAATGTGGCATAACCACTACTAGGCAATTTAGACAAAACTATGTTTACACACTGGAGCTGATTTTATTGTAAAGTGACCAACAGCAGGGTATATAGTCTGAAGCCATATTAGGAGGGCACTGTCTAGTGAGAGTCTTTTTTTCAAACCCAGAAGTACAGAGGTTGTCAGGCTCTGGTCACGGAGAACCTGGTAGGATAGCTGTTTTGTCATAAGGTGCCAGCTGCACCTCATTTCCAGAAGGTAATTTCTATTAAAAAGACAGCTAAAGTGATATTAAAATATTATTACTTTTCCATGTTAACTATTGTTATAGTTGTCACAGGAATGTGTTATGTACCAGAGGAAGGAGGAGGTCCATGCAGAACTGGAGGGCAGGTGGCCAATCTCTGAATTCAAAAATACTTCATTGCTCTGAAAATGTTTCCATATCCCTTCCCTACAATTCTACAGGCTTCAAGGGCTGGTTTTATTATAGAGAATGGATACTTTCAGTATTCTGTCTTTCACTCTCAGTATAATGGAACCATATTTTAGCCCACTGTAGTGCCTGTACAGTAACACCAAACACCATCTTGTATTAATACATTAAATTGCCTTTGCCCTCACTGTTCATAGTTGGTCTCGCACATGCACTTGAAAGTTCAGCTGTTTCTCTTCATAACATTATTGGCCACGCCCCCAAGATATGGAAAGTGGTGGTGATGAGGGGTGGTTGTGCTATATTTATCCTTTTCTATTTTTAAGCCCCAAACCAATATCCTACAAGTACAGAGGACAACCCTTAAAAAGCAGCAGCAGAACAAGAAATTGTACTGTAAATACTTCATTAAGCATGGAATAAAGTATAAATAGTTCAAACACGAGGAAGGAGCTTCTTTACATATATTGACAATTCTCCACTTTAAGTTACATAATCCTGTATAACTCAATTATTCTGCAATTCAGGAGTGTAATAATACATCTCGGTCTATACTAAGGACATTGACTGGTGAGACCATACCATAGCTATGGACATACCCAGGTAACATAAGGATCCTTAGAGTCAGGGTAATTCTGACTATATTGTACTGAGTATTTTGAATTTTACATCTTCAGTCGTTAAAACTATTCTATTTTAAACCATTCATTATAGCTCTGTTTTTAACTTTTAAAAGCAACAAGTTTAAGAGAGGTAAAAAATGTTCATGAAAATAATTAAGCATGTTCTTTTTAATATTCAAGTATTCCTCACATGACAGGCATAAACATGCACTCAGATGGAAATCTATTTGCCACATTTAACGCTGACTTTCTAATTGTCTTGTAAATCATAAACATTTGTAATGTGTTAACAGTAAAACATGTATTTCCTGATCACTATTCCTGCTTGGAAACTGATGGACTTGTTTAAGATCAGAGGCTGTGTAAAAACTGGACTGGCATTTGCCTTTCCGTGTGATTTTTCTAGATGTCAGTGATCTAACATATGACTTGTTTAATTGGCAAATAATCTAAGCCTTTGAGAAGCATTTTTGGGTATTTCTGGCTGAAAGCCACAGGGTCTATGGCAATTCGCATAGTAATTCCTGCAATGAATAGTGTATCTTTGCCTTGAATATCAATACCAAGACTGAGGGTTGCTGTTCAGTTTGTGAATTGATCGCATCAACTGGAAAACACATTCTGAATGCTAAAGAATGTGATCATTAGCAGTATATCAATTAATTATAAAGCATGTGAAAATTAATCCTATTTATTGGGCGATTTGTACGGGGTTTCTTATTTTTTTTTTTTTTTTTAACTAAGATATTTTCCTGGGGTCCCATGATTTCTGAATTACCAAAATATTCTAGAGTGGTTTATTGCCTGCTTTCTAGTTCCTACTTATCTATGATATTTTGACTACCCACAACACAGAGGGACACGAAGAGCTGGTGATTCAGTGAATATCTGGTCAGAGAACACGCAAAGGCCTTATTGGAGAACACACTATTATTGGTTGGTTTGGGCAAAGAAGATGCTGTTGGTGGAAAGTGCAAAATTGAGAACTTAAATCCCTTGTCAGGTTTAGCATGGATAATGGTAACCAGTCACTGCACTCCTTTTCTAATGAACTTCATCCCTGAACTTGAGAGAGCATCTCTCGGTAATAAATTTACTTTCATGCCAATTCAGTCCTTCACCTCTTTGCTAAGATTGCTAACAGTGCAAACTGTTTTTTTTGTGATAGGAATGTGTCCACTAGGAAGTGAAACTAGGATCTTTTTAACCTCAAATCATTTTACATAAGCCACTAAAGGACCATTACATAGCAGTGACTTTTTCCATTACTGACCAAGGTTGAAATCAAACCAAATCATCATTGACCAGCCTTTTTTGGTTAGGAGACAAAGGAAAGAAGTCAAGATTTTCCTTCTCCCGGACACACAAATCCTTAAAGGAGTGACAGGCAAATCTAAGCGGATATAGTTAAAACCCTGAGAGTATTTTATATGAAAAATCTGAACAGTTTACAAATATGGCCTTCAGCCATATTACCTCATGATGTGATCTTGTCTGTTCTCACAAGTAAACAGGATCAGACTGGAACAGTACCAGAAAGAGATGTGAAAGAAAACAGGTGCAGCAGCAAGTTCTGTCAATGACCTGGTAGTTGGCATTCTTCCCTTTGAGTAAATACTAAAGGCAATAACTCAGAAATCTGTTTGGGGGACACACTCTTTCAGATGAGATACAAAGCCACGGTCTTGACCACTTGTGGTTACTAAAGATCCGAAGACATGCTTTGTAGGAAGAGGAGCATCAATCCTGGCATAATTCCAGCTAGGGTAATTACATCCTGCATACCTAAATTCCTCGTGCCATTTCACTTAGAAGAGATCTGCTTCTCATCCTAAAGTGACATGTAGTGTCAATCAGCATTGCTAAATTGCTGCTGTGGTTTCATTAATAAATGAAGTGAATTCTGTGCATAGTTTGGTAAAATTGCTAAGTGTTTTCACATCCATCAGGATGAAACGGTGCTAAAATAAATGTAATTTCATTAAATCAAGTTATTGTTGTAGCCACTAGTGCCTCCAGTCTGCCATTTCTACCCTCATTTGCCTTTGGAAGAATTCTCTACTCTGTTTAAAGGAGTTAGTTTGGGGTTTTGTTCCTCCACAGATTTCCAAGAAAGGAGCTGCAAAACAACAGTACAGTGGCCACTTTGTAGTTACATACTAGAATATCAAAAACATAAACCATAACCCCTAACTACCACCACAGCAGAAACACTCAAAATTGCTAATCTTTTGAACTTCCCCACTTTTTCAGAGAGATTAAATACTGAAGACACAGGGAGGCAGAAGAGTTGTGAGATGAAGTTAGATGTAGACAACCTTAAATGAACCCTAATTGGTCATTCTTAGGAGCAATGTCTCCTACAGAAAAAAGAAGGTCGGGCAGAGTCAGGGACACCTCGCTTAATTTTGTTATCTTTTGAGCCAAAACCTTAGGAACCAAAAAATTAAGCAACCTTAAGACAACACGATAATCAATTCAGATACCTGAAGAGGAGATTCAGAGGGCTTTGAAAATCAGATGGCGATTACAAGCCTTTTTTAAGACACCTATCACCATGGCACCCTTGCAAAATTAGCAATACACACCTACTGACCCTAAGGGGTGAGGCTTTCAGAGATAAAGGGCTGTTAGACACTGAGGTCCTATTGACTTACAGTAACTGGACCCTTAAATGCCCTTTGTGCTTCTGAAAACTTCCCCTCCCAACAGGCAACGTATTTTCTGCCCCAAGCCTTCCCCATCCACTCACCAAAGAGCCATCTTAGCTTATAACACTTCAAATAAGACAACCGGTACCTCTTTCACTGTACCTTAAAAATAGCTAGACCAGGGGCGGGCAAACTTTTTGGCCTGATGGCCGCATAGGGTTTCTGAAATTGTATGGAGGGCCGATTAGGGGAGGCTGTGCCTCCCCAAACAGCCAGGCATGGCCCGGCCCCCTATCCGACCCCCGCTGCTTCTCGCCCCCTGTCGGCCCCCCCCCAGGACTCCTGCCCTATCCAACTGCCCCCAGATCCCTCACCCCTAACTGCCCACCACCACACCATCCAACCCCCTTTCTCCTTCCTGACTGCCCCCCTTCCCCCCCCCCCCGGACCCCTGCTCCCTGTCCCCTGACCGCCCACAGCTGCCCCATCCAACCCCTTCTCTCCTTCTTGACTGCCCACACACCCCAGGACATCTGCCCCCATACAACCCTTCTGTTCCCTGCCCTCTGACTGCCCCAACCCCTATCCCCACCCCTGACCACCCCCAGTACTCCCCTGCCCTCTATCCAACCCCGCCCCCTTACCACACTGCCTGGAGCACCGGTGTCTGGCAGCGCGGCTGCACCAGGAGAGACAGCCGCACAGCACAGAGCACCAGGTCAGGCCGGGCTCTGCAGCTGCGCTGCCCCAGGAGGTCACCCCCTGCCACCCAGAGCGTTGCGCTGGCAGCGCGGTGCGGCTGCAGAGGAGGGGGGCAGCAAGGGAGGGGTCGGGGGCTAGCCCCCCAGGCCAGGAGCTCAGGGGCCAGCAGGACGGTCCCATAGGCCATAGTTTGCCCACCTCTGGGCTAGACAATGGCTCTGACTAATTTCCTGTGAAAGGAAAGAGCTCCACAGCCAAGAACCTCTCACTGAAAATACTCTGTTGTAGGTTCCAGAAGGTATATCAAGAGAAAAACAGCAAGAGCATCCTGACTAATTGCAAATCCATCAAAAAGTATGGTGGACAGAATTGCTTGGATAGTCAGATGTCATATACTTCAGGATCTACATGACAAACACTGCCACCTTGAATGTGCCCTCAGAACCAAATTGAAGTCAGTGCCAAGAATGGAACACACGTGTGTGTGTGTTCGGACTGGCTTGCCCCAAGTAAGCAGCAAGCTCCAGATGAAGTTCAAGTGGAGGATTTGTTACAACTTCAAAAATGTGTAACTGCTCTCTGTCAGAAGCAATATAAAGATGGGAACCTCAAGGAATTCCTGATGAAGAGGACTCAAACAAAGCAAGAACAAGCAAGAGCTTAAAGAATGTTTTAAGGAACTTTTTGATAGCGCATTTTAGAGGAGTCTGGACCCAGGTACATGAACCTTACATAAAGTAGTAGACCAGGAACATAAGGTTTAGAATGGCATATGTACATATATAGTAACAATATCTTACCTGGATCTTTTCGCCCTGGTTTTTCAAACCGCCTGTCTCCCCTAGAAAGGCAGAATAAAAGTTTCAAACAAGGCTTTGGACGCTTGCCATCATTTCAGGTGCAACTCTCGCACATTTCCTCTCTCTCACTAGAGCTATGGGGCCAAAATTTTAAGGGTAGTTCCGTGCCCAGATACTTTTGAAAATGCCAACAGGAGCCTATCTAGATCTTTAGGCATCTTAATACCTTTAAAAACCTAGGCTTAATGCATTGCAAACAGACAAAAGGCTAAAACTAACAGAAGAGCCCTCTCTCCAAGAGCTACACAAACTTTCTCCCAAAGATAGCTACAATGGAAATGACGGTTTCTAGAACACCTCAGTTTCTCACAGCTGTGCTCTGTTCATGCCCACAAGTAATCAGCAATATAAGCTTTTGAACAGTGTTTTTGTTGTAACAGCTGGGATTCTAGCAACATTACTATATGGTCTCCACTTCAGAAATTCCAAGACAATCAACCAGTACATATTCCTACAGAGCCTTTCTGAAATATCTTTTGTGGATGAAGGGTGCAAGCATGGGATCCAAGCACATGCATCTACAGTATATTTTAAAATCTAGGCTTTTCTGTTACCTTTCCTCCCAGCTCTGAGATCTGTGCATTTCCCTGCCTCCTCCTCGCCCAAATCCACCCTCCACTTCGTCAAAACTTCTTTGGTAGAAACCACTTTCTCCTCTGCCTCTGCCTGCAAAGACAAAAAAACAAAGAAAAACGTTTGTAAGAAGAACTTTACTTCCCCTTTCTAATGTGAATGTAACCTCATTTTATAATCTTCTCCTTAATGAGACACTGCAACCTGACAGTGGGCAAGTCTTTCCTCCATCTCATGAGAATAGTATTGGTGTTTAAATCCACTCACTTAATATTTCAAAGCTAAACATTTCCCAAGCAACTGATTTTGGAAATTAACATCTACATTTCAAGAGACATCATTTCTCACAAGCTTGTACACCATACTTCATCACCATGTTTGGAGCTGTGCATGAAGGAGGACAAATTAACAGGCTGCCAAATAGGGAAGGTTTAAGGTGAACATGAAATAACTTTTGGGAATTTGGAAATAAGGTAATTGGAGTCTTGGTTATAGTCCAGCACACCAAGTAATGCACAGAAGAGCTACACAG